CGGTACCTGCCCGTCTTCGCGAGCGGCTCCGCGCGCCTTGCGTAGCGGCCTGAGCCTGGGACGAGCTGAGGAAACCCTGAAGCGTACAGCGCGCTGCCAGGCGGGTGGCAAAGAGGACCATCTTGCAGCCGAGCAGACTGCTCTAGAGTTACTCTTTAACGTCGTGGTCTTAGTTCTTCGCGAGCGGCTCCGCGCGCCTTGCGTAGCGGCCTGAGCCTGGGACGAGCTGAGGAAACCCTGAAGCGTACAGCGCGCTGCCAGGCGGGTGGCAAAGAGGACCATCTTGCAGCCGAGCAGACTGCTCTAGAGTTACTCTTTAACGTCGTGTTCTTAGTTATTCGCAAACAGTAAGGGGGAACTTTGTGTATATGTAAACACGCAGGCATAACGCAAGGTACTGTGCAAAGTCTCAGACCCTGCGGGTGATTCATTTGCGTGTCCAGCCAGGAGCATCTACCGCGTCGTTAGCTCTGCTACACGTGGTAAGGTCCATATGAAGTTAGGTGGAGCGCGTATTTTTAAGGAAAAGCCTGTGTTGCCGTCTCAGGACAGGATCTCTGATTGTGCCGTGCGTTAGTGTTGTGAGTCACCGGCGGGAGCGCAGGCAAGATGTGAAGCTTTTTCTCATGCAAACTAAGAAACAGAGAAACTGCCCTCATGTGTGGTAGTATGCTGTACGCGGGTTGAATGCTAATCAGGCGTTCGTCTCTCCTACTAACGGCCTTCCTACTAAAGGCACCTTTATCGCAGCAGAAGGAACGTTTCACTATTACTTGGGCTGATATCTAATTATATATGTACGATTTTTCAGATTCTTCTGCAATTTAAGAAGGAATGTTTTTGTCCCAACTGTAGTACACAACAAGGCTTATAAGCGGTTGATAGGCTTTACTTTGCATTGCCTCTGCTAGCGGTAATTCTAAATTAGCCAGCAGCCCAGTTTCTCCATGCTTATTGCTGAGTTATCTTCCCAGAAGGAATAATTGCCTTTTGTAAGCGTGGAACTGTAGTTGAGGACATCCCTGTTTCTAGCACAACTGATATCCAAAAAATCCTTTGTTTTGGAATGAAGAAAACAGCTGTAAGATAGCTGTGCACCTTCTCTCCAGAATAAAGCAACAGTGGCTTTCTGTGTATGTAGAGAAATTTAATATTCAGTGTTCTTTATGAGAATTGTGCATAAAACAAGTGGAACCACTTGTGGGAATAAAATCAAAGATGTGTCTATCTTTTTGTCGGACTATGCCAAAAATACTGCTGCTGCACTTTCCGCAGTACAAGTTAATGGCTGTTCTGGTGCTTAAGAAAAAGATTCAAGTCGGATCAACTATAGTAGAGAAAAATAGCTTTCTGAAGTTATACGTTAAGATCTTTTATGAAACAAAACTCCAACACCAAACGATGCAGTACTATCTTCTAGTTGTGCTGTGAGAAGTTTGCTGATATCGTAAGTTGATTTAATTCAGAGAGTATGTGCTGTTTTTAAAAGGGCGTTCTGAAATTATTCTCATTTGGACTCAACTAAGTGTGCTTTGTTTGCTGAATGTTTCAAACCTCAAAATGTAAACCAACTTACTCTGCTTAAGTACTTTAGATCCAGCTTTTCTTCCTGTTGGAGTGGTTGCTTGAGGATAAGAGGGAAGAAAAGTAGTTCCAAGATGTTAAAGATCTGCTTCCGAAATGGCCTAGTTTCCACTGCTGAACATGCGATTATTAACACTTTCAATGTGATTGTAGCTTTTAACCCGCAGATTATAGCACACTGTCCCACAGATATCAAGGTACTTCAGAAACAACATTTAAAATGACAGCTCAGGAAGTTGCTGGGAGGAACCTGAAATATTGTTATCACCTTTTTCTATTAACTACACCCAACAGTGTCTTGAGCACGCAAGGAGTTGGAGGTGCTGCGTTGTCCAGCCGTGTCTCTGTGCTCCTACCTCCGTACACGTACGCGCTGATGGGCTCCTGCTGCGAAGTGGAAATGCCTCCCTTTTCTCTTTCCTCCGCAAAGCACTTACTGCAGTGCTGGAGAGTAGAAGGCGAAGAGAAACCTTTCTTTGAGAACCTCCTGTTGGGGGACGCGTTTGTAGTTGGTATTTGCCTAATGTAATAATTTTAGACTGCTTTATCGCTACTGAAGTGATGAAGCCAGCTAGTGTGTGCCTGGTTTGTGTCATGCTTGGGTAGGCAAGGCTTGTTTTTAAAAAAAAAAAAAAATGGAGCGAGAGCACAACCATACCAGGTTCAGGATGCACAGACTCCCAGGACAGTTGTGATGTGTGTGTGAGAGAAAAGCTTGATTGGCCTTAGAGTAGTGGTGCATAGGAAACCAAAATTATTATTGGCCATAAAGGTGGGAAACTCTATGATGCCTGCATTGTCTTGAATTAATAATTCTAGCTTATGCTATCGAGAATAAGCTCCTGATAACACACGGGTCTCAGTAAGTTCTGTACCTAGAAAAAAGATTGGGACTGTTGATTTGTGGAGAATTTCAAGAATACTTCCAACTGTTTTTATGTTTAGCCATCCTTCAAACTGAAGGAAGTCTGCAAAGTCATCAAGCATAAATTGCTGTCCACTGAGAAAGATTCCTTAGTATTAGGTATAATCCACAACTCAGGCTGTGTAGTAATTGAGCAGACCTTGCTCTAATTGACGCTGAGCTTCCTGACTCTCTGAGCAATGTAATTGTACCTTTTAAAAGTATGATGAGCCTTTCCCTTAGAAGTAGCTTTTGCAATTTAACAAATCCATAATTGCAGCAGCAAAACATTTGCTTCCAGATAAGGGCACTTGTACAGTATTAGGAATTAGTTTGAACTGGCCAGATGCCTCCTGATAAGGTACAGCAGAAAGCTGTCATCCAGTATGCTGAAGAATTTAATTCCCTTCAGTTGTGACACAGCATGTATGTAGTAATAAGTCGAAAATTACTGGTCATAATGGATCAAGTCTAGTGGTGTACCACAGGCTTGTTTATTGCTTACCGTTGTCAAATACTGAAAGTAAAAGAAAAAAAAATCCTCGTTTTGGTTGTGCTGACACATGTTTTAGCAGAAATTTTATTCCTCTTTCAATTCCTCTGCTTTCTTCCTAATTCCTACTGACAGGACATTGCATAACTTCAGTGCTCTGTGCATCTCCGGGCTAACATCCTCCCAGCCCCCTCCTGCCCTCAGTCGACATCCTTCCCTCTTCTCTATCAGCCTCTACTCTTAAAATCACTTCTCCTTTTGTGTATGGCTGAAGTACCACCATCTCAAGCCTGATCTCTTTTGAGATAACACTTCTATGAAACCCCTCATGACCACTTAAAAAATCTTCCCACAAAGCAGCATGACCCAACCTTTTATTTTGCTGGAAACCAGGTATCAGTTTGGGGGCCTTTCCTGCAGACCCGTTGTTGAGCTCTTCCCTGAAACAGGTAGAATGAATGAATGAATATGAGCCGCCGTGGCATTAAGCTTCACGTCCTTTCATCCTTCCTTCGAGGCCAGAGGAGAAGCAGTGGCGGCCCGGCCAGCTTATTTGCCCTCAGTTGTACCGTGCTGCATCTAGAGTACTTTTATTGTCTGGTGGTATCTTTCATCTGAGAAGCTGTTGGCTGTAATTCCAAATTCTTGGTGCGAGATTATTTTTATAGCTACCCCAGCGCTGCATCTGGCTCGAGCTCAGGGTCCGTCCTAGTGAGCCTCAGTGGGGATGAGCGGGGTTAGGCTGGGAGCTCTGCTTTAAAAAACACTAACCTGCCTAATGGCATGTATAGGTGTAGCCTTGATTTTAAATCTGAAGGGTTAAGTTCTGTCAGAGGGTTAAATTTTGCGTCAGACTTACATTAACTGGAATCATATCTCTTGGATCTAAAGAAAGGAAATGAGTGGAAAATAAAGCCCAGATTCCTCCCACTTAGCTGTAGGCATCTGAGACACCTCCCTTAAGAGGCTAGTTTTAGGTCCCTGTAGGGCACCTCTGAAGAGAGGAGCACCTCCAGAAGGTAATTTGGCCTGTGTAAGATTTGAATCACCCCCCCCAGAAAGGTCTCTCTCTCTTGTTGATTAGAGAGTTAATTGATTAAAGTTAGTTAGGGGAAATATGGGCCACAATCTTGTTTGGTGCGTGAAATGCTCACTAACTACAACAGAGTAACTCTGAGTAGAGTAAGGTAAGCTGTGATGTTTGGCCTACTTTTTAATTCCTTCTTTAAGATAGTTATTCGTGACAAATCGAAGCCCCCCTAACAGCAGATTGATGAGATGCCTGCTGAGTTATACTGCGATACTGTAATCACAGATCATTTTTGGCTTCATTTGCCTAAGGATATGGGCTTACAATTGCGTAATAATGCCAAACGAGCTATCAGAATTAAAATCAGTTAAGACTGAATTTGCCATTCCTAAAGGCTGGTTGTTTTGTAGCACAAATTTAATTTTGCTTATCTGATCCTGTTGTATATAGTTATTTTCATCTGCCCTGAACTTTGGCAGACCAGCTGCATTTAGTCCACCACTAGCCAGTTTAGGGAGGAATTATCGTGTTAAAAGCAACATTTGGTTGTAATGCTGGCAAGGCTTCCGTTTGTCCTGTCTCCACATAGTAAATTTATGTTCTTTACCACAAAAAAAAAAATAACCGCCACATACGTCTTGAATGGAACTTCCTTAAACCGCAAGGCTGAAACGAACAAAGAAAGGTTGAGAGCCTGCTGAATGTCAGCGTTGCTTTCCTCTATAATTTGCGATGGGTAAAAAAGAAACCAAGATACCCTGATGATGAAAAAGACTAGAGTTATACATATTCTTTTAATGCTTTGAAAGATTTCGAAGCAGAACCTCAGATGATAACTTCTGAGATCAGTCTGCCCTCTTAAAAGCTGATTATGTGCAACTTCGATTGTAACAAGGTCTTCTAAAGTATTCAGGCTATTTTTAAGATAACGTAGTTTTGCACCTTAATCTAATTTCTGCCTTCCATCTGGAAGAAATTAAAAATCCAAACCATGCATCTTTACAGTCCTTAAAAATATCTCGTACCTGTTGTACTATTTGTGCGTGTGCCTAGGATTTGAAGGTAAAGCTGGGGCAGGAGCACCAGCCGCAAAAGGCTGGGGGCTAACAGGGGCGGGGTTGTCCGCACGAGCTAACTGCAAGCCCCTTCCCTTAGGCCCTGCAACGGAGAGAGGGGAGTTCCCTGCCATGCTGTTCCATGATCTCTGCCTTTTTTCCCTGATTGTATGCACCCGATAATGAAGTGTTTTTCTCTCTCCCATCCTCCCCTCAGCGTCAGGATTCTGCATGGTATTGCACCCGAGCGATGCACGCCTCGTACTTTCGGGGCTGCAATATTAATGCAGGTTTGTAGAGGTCCTGTGTGAAGTCCTGGGGTGTGCTTGCTATTCTGTCTCTGAGCGTTGCTGAAATAGCATTTAGAGACGAGTCCAGGACACGTCCCCTTGTGTTACTGTGTTATACAGCATGTAAGAAATAGTTACTGCTCCAAAGAGCTGTACGTTAAAAATAATTGAATAAAATGGATTTGAGAGTAGTCCTCACCTGACAGGATTAAGAACTAGGCTTTTGAATGGTGCTAAGAAATTTTTGAATTTGGTAGAGAAACATTTTCTTTATTGAAAAGGATATACTTCTTCTGAAAATAACTCTTTTTTAGGTTTGGAAGTTAAAAAATCATGGGGTGGAATCCAGAAGTTCAATAAATGTTTAACTGTTTTACATTTTTTGTCTAATCTAGTTGTAATAGGCCAAGAGACCTGCTTTCTTTCCTTTCTGTTGACCAGGCCAGTAGATTTCATTGTCGGAAAGGTATTGGAGAAATGCAACTTCAGTTTTCTTGCTGTAGTAGCCCAAGTCATTCTATCCTCCCTGGCATTCGTACAGGTGCCAGTTACATGGCTCACCACAGAAGGATAATATTTGCTCGTGACTATTTTCCGTTCTAGCTTTAGGGTACAGCCTTAAAGACAATTCCTAGTAAATGCCGACTGACTGCAGACCACAGCATGATGCTAGCTACACTAGTTTCCCTGTTACGTTCTCTCTGCTCACTAGCAGGCTCCGTTCATCATAAAGACTTCCTTCTCTTTCTTCGTCCTGGCTGCAACAAGGCAGTTTTGAGTTATTACCACAGCGCAGAGCGAGGAGCCTTATCTAACCTGTACCTATTTCTCTTACAACAGATAATGTAGAAATATGAATATTAGTTCAATGACTTCTGTATCTGAATGATTTTCGTTTCTTCTTCTCAGGTGCAGTATAAAAACAAAAAAATGTTCTCCCGATTAAGAGTAGCTGCCACTCCCTGTGCCATGGCATGTCGCAGTGCGCATACGAAAGAGAAAGGCAAGCCACTGATGTTAAACCCACGAACAAACAAGGTTGGTAGTGTGTGTTTATCAAGTATGTTATCTTCAGCTGGTAGCAGCGCAGCGAACCTTGTTCTACGATTGAAGCAGTGTTCAGTTTTAAGGTCAAGGAGCTGTACTGGGTCACAGCCAAAAAGGGGGGTACAGAAGACGGAGGTGCCAGCGATCGTTTAAAGTTTACTACCTGGAGACCTACCATACAGGGACTTGCAGTGACACTTTCTGCTTCTGTCAGCCTGCGCTTCCCTCCGTTTGCTGCAGTTTACGCGACTGATCCTGCTGCTCCCTCATTCCAAATTAAGAATCAGTGATTCTTGCTGATAACGGGCTTAATTTTTTGGCTGGTTGAATTCCAAGAATATTTTAGCCGATTAAGAGCCTTATTTCATAGTTTGCAAAAGTAGCTCTGAATTCAAACTTGCAAGTGATTGAAAGTGTTAGTTTCTGCGTCCTAGTCCTGGTTTTCCCCTGCCAGACTGAATTGCGAACCAAGCCATGTCAGTTAGAAACATCTCTGTGCAGAGAGTGATAGAGAGTGCATCTAAAAATAAGCTAACTGGGAGGTAGAGACTTTAGGTTGGTTCCATGCATTGGGAGGAATTTCTCTTCGTGGAGAAAATGAAAAGCTGCTTTCTTAAAAGATTCCCGTTTCCAACTCCCTACCCCCCGTCTCCTCTTTTTTCCAGAGCAGTAGTAGTCTTTGGGAATAATAAAATGATCAACCTTTAAACTAAAGCTAGTGAGAGATGAGATGAGGGCTTTTGGCAGTTAATCGAAGCCATCTAAAGTGATCAAGAAAGGTGACAGACCTTGCTGCCTCGAATAGGGTATTTCATGAGCAGTGGAACTAGCAAAGCTGGTCTCTCATGGTTTTGTCTACGCTTTCTAATGTCTTGCTTTTCTCTTCTTCCCCATTCTCTCTGGTTTTTTCCCCCTCCTCCTGTAGTGCTTCAGATTTCCCCTTCTCTGTAAACTTCCTTCCCTTCCGCCGCATGACCTTGGCTCTTTCTCTCCCCCAGTGTTCTCGGCCCCTTCCCGTGCCCCCTGCCCAGACACGAAGCAGCACGTGCTGCCGTGAAGTGGCCAACTGGCAGCCAAACACCTAACCCCTGCGCTCAGTGCAGCCTTTCTCTCGGTGGGGCACCAGGCTAGCTCTTTCCTCTGCACAGCAAATTTTTTTTTTTTAATTGAAACTTGTTGGAATTTCTTTCCTTTGTCCCTCTCTTACTGTCGGATTTGATAGAACTTGGCCAGTGGGTTCAAAAGTTAAGGAGGAAAGGGGGAGGGAATCAAGCTAAGAAATACAAGCCCCATCTCTCTGTATCCTACCCATAACTCTGGGGAGAATCACTCCGGCGTTTCTTTTGGGAAGAGTGACTCCTTAAGTGTCCTGAAAAGAACGAAAGAAGGCAAAAAGTTGCTTGCATTATCTTATACAGTATAGTACATACAGTATACTGTATCTTATACAGTGTAGTACAGACGCCTCACTATCGTATGAATGTGGGTTGCACAAATACAGAGATAGCTGTGGTAGTTTGAGTCTGGCTGACTGCAAAAACAAAATTGAGATGGGAGTGTTGGGGGCAGGAGAAAAAAAGGATAGACTGGAGTGATTTATCAAGATCAGGTATCTCGAGACTTTTCTGAGCTGTAAGCCCTTTGACGAGCCAGAGGAAATTATTTCAAGCCCTGAAAGCTTTTCCAAGTGCCCGTTATGCAACAGTGGTCAGAAGAAAAACAATAGGTCGTTTCTTATGTTTTTCTGGTGATAGGGTTTTTTTGTTTTTCTTTTTTTTTTTTTTTTAAAGCCTAGAGTAGTTCTGTGGGGGACTGAGCACAATGCAGTATTTTTTATGAGGTGTTTTGAGGAGGAGGGAAGAGCAGAGAGGTGCTTATTAATAGCGGTTGTTTTTTTTATTTTTAAATGGCGCTAAGAAATGATACTGGGCAGAGGAAAAACTTTCTCCCCATTTGTTTGGCTCTGCTTTAGTCAGGCTGTCATTAAGGCTGACACCTGTTTGAATAGATCTATAAAGTGGTTAAGTGATACTGCTTCGTGGTTGCGCATATTATCTGTGTTGAAACTTATTTTGGAAATACAGCAGAGAAATAAATGATTGACTAAATACGGAAATTACCCTTTCTGCTCTTCTTGCCCTGGCTGCCTCATGTGTGGTGTATATATTTGTGTATGTGTGTATGTGTATATACACATGCACACGGAGATAATGGACTTTGATATTTCTTGCTGGTGACTTGAGATCAGCATATAGCTTATAGCTATATGCTTGTAGCTTGTTCTTTAGTTGTTTGTGTTTTTTATAGTCTATATCAACTTCTTCTACAGAACATTTGGACTCCATTTGAATACACATGGGCCCTAAGATAAGAACTGTAAGATGCCAGCATCACTCATGGAAAGAACCCCTTCCCCATCTGCAAATTAATCTGCTCCTATACTTTGCCGTTGGAGTTGGGGTTTTTTCCTAGTCTTTCCCAGCCTTACCTGGCTCCTGCAGGTGCATACTGCCTGCATTGGCTGTCTTAGGCTTTTATGTTTCAAGGCCAGGTTTCAAATATTTATTGTCAGCTCGGGAAAGGTCATGAGCTATATCAGTAATGCCCTTGCTGTTGCAGCCAAACAATTGCAGAACGTACTGTAACTGCATTGCTGGCATCAATGTATATTTATGGTCACCCGTGATGTTTGATTTCTGCTGAACTGCTCTGTGACAGGGATTCAAATTATAGTTAATTGGCTTCAGGACCTTATATTGTGCTGGTGATCCCTACTGTGTGGAAGCAGCGTTTTTAAGCTTGTTTGGCACTTAGACAATTTCATTTGTTTAATACTGGCAATTAAATTGTTGTTTATGTTGTGGTAATGCTTGGGATTCTCACTCATGGGTCAGCATTTCTTCTTCCAGCACAGAACAGATGATGACCCCTGATCTTGGTAATGTCCGTGCTGCCGTGTAGAGGAGCGTCAGCGTGTCTTTATTGTCACTGGAACTACGTGACCTGCAACGTTATTATATGTTTGTTTTCTTCGTGCCTGCAGCAAATTTGAGACTCTGCATAATTTGTGACACTTTCTGTATTTTAGTTGCTGTCAGTTGACAATTTTCTACCTTGTGGTATCAATTCTTGTTAATCTCAGTGTGCATGACGGCGTTGTGTGTGGTTGGTTGTTGCATTACCCCTTTTATATTGTACCGTTTCTCAATATCACATTGTTAGTTCATTCTTCAATATTGCTTTCGTATCCTGACAATGCTTCTCAAATTTTTTTCCCTTCAGCAAATATCTTTAGCACGTTTCATATGTCCACACATATTTATATGCGTATGTGCCTGGGCACATGTATGTGTGAGTACGTGACATATTTTAAAAAATAAATTAAGAATTTGCTGATGGTGTCATAAATGATCAATTTAAGATTTATCCCCAGAACAATTTCTGAGGAACTATCCTGGTGCCTATTCTCCAGGAATGCAGTCATCTTTTCATAGGCTCTGTTACCTTGTCCTTTGCTAGACCATTAATCGCATTTTCATCTGCATTTATTTGCAGCTTTTTCAGCCCAATTTGTTTTCCTACATGCCTTACTGAATACATCACTGAAATTCTGATAGATTACATTTGTTTAGAGAATCAGTTCTCTTACCAAAGATATAAGTGATCTGACTGACTTCTGGCACATATCCAGGCAGTGTATTTCCAGTTCAGAATTAAAAAAAAAAAGAAAACAAAGTTAAAGCTAGTTGGACAAAATAAATAGGGTAGGACAAGAGAATATGAGGAAGGGTTGTGTAAAAATGAAGATCTAAACAGAAATGCTGCCTTTCTTCTTCCTCTGCCCGTTCCTGCTGCGCTGCTCTAGACACATTTGGTTTCGTCTGATGGGAAATTTTTTAGGCCATAGCTGCTTGGTTGTTGAGCAGCCAAGGTGTAGAATAAGCAATGCCTATCTGCCTTCCTAGTTTTCTTAGGAAACCAAGATAAATAGAATGCGTGGACATACTGAAAGTGGTGATATTCATCTTGCTGGGAACTGCAGTGTTTGAAATATTACCAGCAATTCCTGGTCAGTCACAAAGAAACATCCTAGAAGGCAGGAAACATTGACAAAAACTACTAGTTTGCACGCACACGCACACACACACACACAGAGCCCGAAGGAAGAGTCCCACCACGGTCTTGTGTCCTGCCCAGCTGGTTTGGGGATGGAGGTTACATGGCCACACATCTGCAGTTTCTAAAGCTGTTCTCAGCTTCCTTGAAGATCTGCTTGTTTTTAAGAGCATTCAAATGTGGAAAGAAGATGGATCTGTTTAATCTGCAACTAGCTTTCGTTGTCTGCCTGAAAAGGTGCTACGAGTTGGTAGGTGGTATTACACCTCATTTAACTCTGATCAGCTATTCTGCTCGCAAATCCTGAGTTATTGGGGTTGCAGGTCAGGGAAGGAAGGCAGTTGTCTTGAGATTTGTAGGGTTAATGCATCTGTTCAGTTACGGGTAGCAGTTTAAGGAAACGTCTGTGGGGTGCTCGCTAATACTGTGTGGTTGAGATGAAATGGTAGGTGATCCATTGCAAAGCGTTATGCTCATGATTTGCAAAGTACAGCTTTACTGTAACCATTCGTGCTTGGAGGCAAGCCCCAAAGGGGCCAGGTGACTTGCTTGCTGGTGTGTAAAGGCTCCTGTTTTGGGGAGGAACAGCTCCAGCTGAACCCAGATCATTCATAAATGCTGGTTAGCCAAATCCGGTCAGCAGCCGTAGTGACTTACACCTGGTTCCTTGCGTATAGATGTGGTACAAGAACTGCCAGCGTCTTTGCCTGCAGAGGCTAAGCCCTTTAAAGGCCTAATAACCTAAGCTCTGGGTCATTTTACAGCTCAGCAGGGAGTAGATCCCTATGCCATGTCAGCCGGATCCTGCAAACTGTCTTCCCAGGAGACTCTGTAGCCGTGTCCTGCTCTCGGAGAGGCGAGGACGATAAGACTCA